AATTTTTCCAACCCTGTTTGTGCTGATGATGGTCGGCCACTATAGTCGGCCCGACTATAGATTCTTACTAGTTTTTTTCTGTTTTGTGGTTTTAAAAACTATTTTGCTATATCGTTGTAGGATTTCAAAAATACAACCTATTATATATTCATAAATCAATAGCCCACTATTAATAAATTAACTTTTTGCCTTTTAACCAAAATCCATTTGATTGGCAATTTTTTTTACTTTTTCATATTTTTATTATATTTTAAGTGGATTTTTTCCTTACCAACAATAAAATATTTATGACATTTTATTTTTGTTCTTTTACTAGGTCAACTTAGTATACAAATGACAAAGGCAAATCAACAACATTTTGTTGCAACAATTCGTTAAAAGCTCAAGTAATAAGTAGAAAGAGTGAAAAAATAGAACTAAAATATTATTTGTGGTCTTTTGAGCAAAACCAACAATTGAAACTTGAACATTGTATTTGGTATCTGTATTTTGCAAACCATATTTTTTTTTTTGACTTTTGACCTTAAACAATGCAGGAGTTATAACAAATGAAATTGCTAACAAAATAATAGTAATAGAATGACAAACCAATTTGATAAATATGCAATTTTTCTAGTTTTAAGTACTATGCATATTGGATTGCTAATTTTTCAGGACTACTATATACCTACTGCATGACATAGCAAGAGGTTTGTAATGTTATCATATTACAATTACATACTGAAGGTAATTTAAAGTCGAATTTTTTACCTTTCCCTTTCTTATTCTGAAAATAACTTTCAACTTTAATTACACTAATCCATAGGCATGCAATTTAATCGTTTTGTCAATCAATCATTTTTGTTGAAAATAATTATCATACAATAAATCATTAATCATTATTAATTTCAATAGATATTTGTTTATAAGTTTTCGTGCAAAATCTCATTAAAAATTTCGCAATATTAATTTATCTACGGGAAGGAAAATATTTACATCATTATAATTTTTTTCTTGCGTTTATTACCATTAATTTATTGATTTATAAAACAAGTCGTCAAATACTTACAAACGAATAATAAAAGTCTCAATTTCCTATTAGAAATAATATAAAAAAGGTAATAAAATTTCTTAATTTCTTTCATAAAATGCTAAGTATTTTGGTATGAGTTTTGGAACTTAATTTGACATATAAAAAAATTTCCATGTAAAAGGCTATTTAGCAAACTGATGAAATGGTTGTACTACAAATAACTTGAAAAATTCTCGTCTTAAGATAAAAAGAAGAACGAACTAAAGAGGAATTTGTTAGCTCTTGATCTAAACTATGACTAGTCCATAGTCTAGTCCATAGTCTAGTCTATATTCTAGTCTATAGTCTAGTCTATAGTCTAGTCTATAGTCTAGTCTATAGTCTAGTCTATAGTCTAGTCTATAGTCTAGTCTATAGTCTAGTCTATAGTCTAGTCTATACTCTAGTCTATACTCTAGTCTATAGTCTAGTCTATACTCTAGTCTATACTCTAGTCTATAGTCTAGTCTATAGTCTAGTCTATAGTCTAGTCTATAGTCTAGTCTATAGTCTAGTCTATAGTCTAGTCTATAGTCTAGTCTATAGTCTAGTCTATAGTCTAGTCTATAGTCTAGTCTATGTCTAGTCTATAGTCTAGTCTATAGTCTAGTCTATAGTCTAGTCTATAGTCTAGTCTATAGTCTAGTCTATAGTCTAGTCTATAGTCTAGTCTATAGTCTAGTCTATAGTCTAGTATAGTCTAGTCTATAGTCTAGTCTATAGTCTAGTCTATAGTCTAGTCTATAGTCTAGTCTATAGTCTAGTCTATAGTCTAGTCTATAGTCTAGTCTATAGTCTAGTCATAGTCTATAGTCTAGTCTATAGTCTAGTCTATAGTCTAGTCTATAGTCTAGTCTATAGTCTAGTCTATAGTCTAGTCTATAGTCTAGTCTATAGTCTAGTCTATAGTCTAGTCTATAGTCTAGTCTATAGTCTAGTCTATAGTCTAGTCTATAGTCTAGTCTATAGTCTAGTCTATAGTCTAGTCTATAGTCTAGTCTATAGTCTAGTCTATAGTCTAGTCTATAGTCTAGTCTATAGTCTAGTATAGTCTAGTCTATAGTCTAGTCTATAGTCTAGTCTATAGTCTAGTCTATAGTCTAGTCTATAGTCTAGTCTATAGTCTAGTCTATAGTCTAGTCTATAGTCTAGTCTATATCTAGTCTATAGTCTAGTCTATAGTCTAGTCTATAGTCTAGTCTATAGTCTAGTCTATAGTCTAGTCTATAGTCTAGTCTATAGTCTAGTCTATAGTCTAGTCTATAGTCTAGTCTATAGTCTAGTCTATAGTCTAGTCTATAGTCTAGTCTATAGTCTAGTCTATAGTCTAGTCTATAGTCTAGTCTATAGTCTATATAGTCTAGTCTAGTCTAGTCTATAGTCTAGTCTATAGTCTAGTCTATAGTCTAGTCTATAGTCTAGTCTATAGTCTAGTCTATAGTCTAGTCTATAGTCTAGTCTATAGTCTAGTCTATAGTCTAGTCTATAGTCTAGTCTATAGTCTAGTCTATAGTCTAGTCTATAGTCTAGTCTATAGTCTAGTCTATAGTCTAGTCTATAGTCTAGTCTATAGTCTAGTCTATAGTCTAGTCTATAGTCTAGTCTATAGTCTAGTCTATAGTCTAGTCTATAGTCTAGTCTATAGTCTAGTCTATAGTCTAGTCTATAGTCTAGTCTATAGTCTAGTCTATAGTCTAGTCTATAGTCTAGTCTATAGTCTAGTCTATAGTCTAGTCTATAGTCTAGTCTATAGTCGTCTATAGTCTAGTCTATAGTCTAGTCTATAGTCTAGTCTATAGTCTAGTCTATAGTCTAGTCTATAGTCTAGTCTATAGTCTAGTCTATAGTCTAGTCTATAGTCTAGTCTATAGTCTAGTCTATAGTCTAGTCTATAGTCTAGTCTATAGTCTAGTCTATAGTCTAGTCTATAGTCTAGTCTATAGTCTAGTCTATAGTCTAGTCTATAGTCTAGTCTATAGTCTAGTCTATAGTCTAGTCTATAGTCTAGTCTATAGTCTAGTCTATAGTCTAGTCTATAGTCTAGTCTATAGTCTAGTCTATAGTCTAGTCTATAGTCTAGTCTATAGTCTAGTCTATAGTCTAGTCTATAGTCTAGTCTATAGTCTAGTCTATAGTCTAGTCTATAGTCTAGTCTATAGTCTAGTCTATAGTCTAGTCTATAGTCTAGTCTATAGTCTAGTCTATAGTCTAGTCTATAGTCTAGTCTAGTCTAGTCTATAGTCTAGTCTATAGTCTAGTCTATAGTCTAGTCTATAGTCTAGTCTATAGTCTAGTCTATAGTCTAGTCTATAGTCTAGTCTATAGTCTAGTCTATAGTTAGTCTATAGTCTAGTCTATAGTCTAGTCTATAGTCTAGTCTATAGTCTAGTCTATAGTCTAGTCTCTAGTCTATAGTCTAGTCTATAGTCTAGTCTATAGTCTAGTCTATAGTCTAGTCTATAGTCTAGTCTATAGTCTAGTCTATAGTCTAGTCTATAGTCTAGTCTATAGTCTTAGTCTATAGGTCTAGTCTATAGTCTAGTCTATAGTCTAGTCTATAGTCTAGTCTATAGTCTAGTCTATAGTCTAGTCTATAGTCTAGTCTATAGTCTAGTCTATAGTCTAGTCTATAGTCTAGTCTATAGTCTAGTCTATAGTCTAGTCTATAGTCTAGTCTATAGTCTAGTCTATAGTATAGTCTATAGTCTAGTCTATAGTCTAGTCTATAGTCTAGTCTATAGTCTAGTCTATAGTCTAGTCTATAGTCTCGTCTATAGTCTAGTCTATAGTCTAGTCTATAGTCTAGTCTATAGTCTAGTCTATAGTCTAGTCTATAGTCTAGTCTATAGTCTAGTCTATAGTCTAGTCTATAGTCTAGTCTATAGTCTAGTCTATAGTCTAGTCTATAGTCTAGTCTATAGTCTAGTCTATAGTCTAGTCTATAGTCTAGTCTATAGTCTAGTCTATAGTCTAGTCTATAGTCTAGTCTATAGTCTAGTCTATAGTCTAGTCTATAGTCTAGTCTATAGTCTAGTCTATAGTCTAGTCTATAGTCTAGTCTATAGTCTAGTCTATAGTCTAGTCTATAGTCTAGTCTATAGTCTAGTCTATAGTCTAGTCTATAGTCTAGTCTAGTCTAGTATAGTCTAGTCTATAGTCTAGTCTAGTCTAGTCTATAGTCTAGTCTATAGTCTAGTCTATAGTCTAGTCTATAGTCTAGTCTATAGTCTAGTCTATAGTCTAGTCTATAGTCTAGTCTATAGTCTAGTCTATAGTCTAGTCTATAGTCTAGTCTATAGTCTAGTCTATAGTCTAGTCTATAGTCTAGTCTATAGTCTAGTCTATAGTCTAGTCTAGTCTATAGTCTAGTCTATAGTCTAGTCTATAGTCTAGTCTATAGTCTAGTCTATAGTCTAGTCTATAGTCTAGTCTATAGTCTAGTCTATAGTCTAGTCTAGTCTAGTCTATAGTCTAGTCTATAGTCTAGTCTATAGTCTAGTCTATAGTCTAGTCTATAGTCTAGTCTAGTCTATAGTCTAGTCTACAGTCTAGTCTATATTAATCTTGTTTATTATCTGGTAATTAACAGTCTAATGTCCAGTCGATAAATAATGTCTAGTAAGTATTGATGTAAAAATACTGAAAAATGTTTAATAGAACTGAATTTCCCAGCCCTGATACAAACTACAGTCATTACAGTCAACTGCAATTTAAAGGCTAAAATCGAAACACAACCTCAAGGTTTTGTTTGAAAACAATATATACAAGTTATTGTTTAATTCTGTTAAATAATTATTTCCAAAACAATTGTTTCACAAACATATTTTTGTTATTTTTAAATAATTTTCAATACAATAGTTACACTAGCCTTTAACAGATTTCTCCAGAAGTTTCTATAAATAGGTATAGTTTTTCAAAAATTACTTATATATAATTTTCCTTTCAACTTTATATCAACATGAAGTTATTTCAACATTTGTGCCTAATTCTACTCGCATTGGTGGCTGACTGCTCGTCTCAAAGATGTAGGAATAGTCCACGTAAGTTTGAGTTAGCTTTTTATTATTTAACCAACTACTTAATTACTTACTTTTTAGGTGTCTCCACCTGTGTTGGTCCACGTAATACCGGTCGTATCTGTCGCGGTTGTTTACCCAGTATCATGTGGTATTACGATGGTAGGCAATGTCATGAAATGCGCTTTTTAGGTGCTAGTGGCAATAGTAATCGTTGGTGTACGAGGGCTATATGTGAGCAGAGATGCCGTCGTTAAATGTTTTAAATATGTATTCTAATTGAAAATTTAAGAAAAAATAAGAAATTTAAACAAAATACTTTTGCTTTAATGAATTTTTTTTATAGATTTTGGAAATTTCGAGAAATTCAGATTAAGAGCAATCGAATGAACTACAACAACTTAAAAATAGATTGAATTCAAGTATATTGACTTATCTATTATAAAACTACGAATCATGTAGAAATTGTCCATGGCTGACAAATTTCTCCTGTAGTTTTTGTTAATAAATATAGAATATTTCTTTTTGTTTTTATTATAAATCAATAAAATGTTTTTTTATTTGCTGACGTCATGTAATTAAATTAAGGTATTTAAAGATTTGTTGTATGTTTTATGGAGTCTATATCGAATTACAGGGACACTTGATATAATAGTCGAACTCTGATTCATATAAAATTAATCGCTTTCATTACAGTTTTTGAAAAAAGTTTTGCTTTCAACTTAATAAAGCAATCACCCTAATGTTCATGTAAATTTTTATTTAGAACGTGTCGTTATTGAAATGTCAATTTTTTTTTTGTTCTAGTTTTTTTTTTCATTTTAGAAAACAATATGAATGTTTGTGTCATTTGGTAAACTGAAATAAATTTAATAATTAAAGTTTTAGTTTTTGTTTAATACCAATTTGTTATTGGTTGTATGACAACTTAAAAATATACTGTTTTTAGGTTCGTAAATTTTATTGTGCCTATAAAAATTATTTATTAGACCTGTTGTTCATAAATAAAAATCTAGTTTAAATGGATCCTTTGGGTTTAAAAACATTTCAAAACCAATATTTAAGGGCAGATCTAATGTTCATGTTTTGTATGTACATACATATAACTATCAATAATTGTCATAGTATATTTAATTTTATTGGTCGACAATATTTGACATAATTACTAAAATATTGCATAAGATAATAGAGTTTAAAAAATTTATTATTATAGTTTAAAGAGATTGAAATTAATAGTATCAGTTCAGTATATGTATAAAAACTTAGTTAGTTAGTTAGTTAGTTAGTTAGTTAGTTAGTAGTTAGTTAGTTAGTTAGTTAGTTAGTTAGTTAGTTAGTTAGTTAGTTAGTTAGTTAGTTAGTTAGTTAGTTAGTTAGTTAGTTAGTTAGTTAGTTAGTTAGTTAGTTAGTTAGTAGTTAGTTAGTTAGTTAGTTAGTTAGTTAGTTAGTTAGTTAGTTAGTTAGTTAGTTAGTTAGTTAGTTAGTTAGTTAGTTAGTTAGTTAGTTAGTTAGTTAGTTAGTAGTTAGTTAGTTAGTTAGTTAGTTAGTTAGTTAGTTAGTTAGTTAGTTAGTTAGTTAGTTAGTTAGTTAGTTAGTAGTTAGTTAGTTAGTTAGTTAGTTAGTTAGTTAGTTAGTTAGTTAGTTAGTTAGTTAGTTAGTTAGTTAGTTAGTTAGTTAGTTAGTTAGTTAGTAGTAGTTAGTTAGTTAGTTAGTTAGTTAGTTAGTTAGTTAGTTAGTTAGTTAGTTAATTAGTTATTTAGATCATTGCACTGATGTTATTGAGGCACCTGTACGTATACGTGTTTGTGATTTATTGTTATTGCAAATATTAAGTATACGCATAATTCAAAAAAACACTTAAAAGTAACAAAGTTATTTTTTATAACTTATTTGGTGATTTTCTTCTTGAAGATGCAGTTTTTGATTTTGTATGATCATCAACATAAATTTCGAACGGTTTGTAAGATATGATCCTGAGAAAATTATCACTTTTTTGCAAAAAGCACTTATATGAGTTCTTTGGGTATAGCTGGTTCTCTTATAACGATGGTTTGAAGGATTGAAATTGAATAGACAAAGTAAGAGGTAAATATAGAATTGTTATGCTTTGACATGAACATAAAGCATCGAGACACAATAAAATGTAGAAAATTCTCAAACATTTTCAAATAGTTTTGTTAACCGAAAACAGAGGTAGCTTTTATCAGGAATCTATATATTGATCTAAATTGTAATGTTTTGAAAAGTATAATAAAAAAATTAAACCTAGAGGAATGTATTTATAGACTTGTATTTACAACAATACATTTTTATATCACAACAAGTTTATATTTTTTCATAAATTAAAGCATTTACAATAATTTGTAAACATTTCCTTAACAATTTAATTGTTTTCTAGATTAAACGTGTTGTTTTTTAACAATAATTATAAACAATCAACCGCAATATAATTTTTGTAACAATAGCCTAACAATACAACCCTTTCGACTTTTTATATAAAAATGGAATGTATAACTTTTCGTAAGCCATAAAACTTAACGAAACAGTTTGTTAAAGTTTATTTTTAATTCAACATGAAATTTATTCATATTTTATCACTACTTCTGGTCGCTTTGGTGGCTTATACATCGGCCCAAAACTGTCCTGGTAGTCCACGTAAGTTTATCGAACTTTATGTACTTAACGAAACCATTTTACATGTTTAATATTTTCAGGTAATCCCTCATGTAGTGGTCAACGTAATATTGGACGTCGTTGTCGTGGCTGTAGACGTACTGTTATGTGGTGGTATGATCCTCGTACTAACCAATGTCGTGATATACTCTATTTGGGTTCTCGCGGTAATGACAATCGCTGGTGTTCTCGACAAATTTGTGAACAGAGATGTCGTCGTCGTTAAATATATGAAATGTTATTTGTTGATTTAATTTTCAAATAAAGAATAATGAATGTTTCTTCTACTGCAATCCTAATAGAATTTAGTTTTATCTACTTTTAAATTATAATGTAATATATGATAAAAATCTATAAATAATTCATAGCAGTCACAAGTCTCTTTATTACTGAGGTTTCATTGAATATAAAATTTACCGGAAACAATATATATATATTGTCGAGACTACAGTCTTTAGTCAAGCCTACAGTCTATAATCGAGACAATAGAACAGTATATAGTCGAGAATACAGTCTATAGTCGAGACTATAAAACAGTCAACAGTCGAGACTATAGCCTATAGTCGAGACTGCAGTCTATAGTCGAGACTATAGAACAGTCTATAGTAGAGACTATAGAACAGTCTACAGTCGAGACTACAGATTAGTCGAGACTATAGAACAGTCTATAGTCGAGACTATAGAACGGTCTATAGTCGAGACTATAGAACAGTCTATAGTCGAGACTATAGAACAGTCTATAGTCGAGACTACAGAACAGTTTATAGTCGAGACTATAGAATAGTCTATAGTCGAGATTATAGAAAACTCTATAGTCGAGACAGTATATAGTCGAAACTATAGAACAGTCTATATAAGTACCTTTGCCTCAAAATTGAACAGTATGCAGTCGCGAATGCAGTTCATAGTCTCGACTATAGAACAGTCTATAGTCGAGACTATAGAATAGTCTATAGTCGAGATTATAGAAAAGTCTATAGTCGAGACCATAGAACAGTCTATAGTCGAGACTATAACACAATCATAGTCTGGACTATAGAACAGTCTATAGACTAGGCTATCGGACAGTCTATAGTAGAGACTATCGAGCAATCTACGGTCGAAACTATAGAACTGTATACATTTGAATTTGCCTCAAAATTGAGACCATGGAACAGTCTATAGTCGAAATTAGAGACTATATAGAATATTGAACACTCTATGGTCGAAACTATGCACTAATCTCTAGCCGATATTATAGAATATTCTCTAGACTAGACTGTAGAATATTCTCTAGACTAGACTTAGTTGAGACTATAGAATAGTTTACAGTCGAGATCATAGAATAATTACAGTCGAGACTATGGAACATATATAGTTAAGGACGTGCTATAGTCAAGACAAAATAATTGTATATAGTCGATAATATAGAACAGACCATTTTGAACATTGAGAACAGTAATTTTTGTTCACTACAAATTTAAGTAAAATATCTGAAATTATAACTTATTGTATATGTTTTTATATAATTATTTGTAAAGAAATTTTAACCTAAAACAATAAAACACTTGAGAAATATAACAATACTTTCCTCACTTTCAAACAGTTCATTAACTCGTGTTCATATGTTCTAGTTCTTCTGAAAATACACGCTCCCTTATTGATACTTTTTGTTTAGCGTGTTTTTTCATAAATATTGTAAAATATCCACTTATCGGAAACATATGTCTGCTTATAACAGTTTTCAGATTTTTTATATAAATATGAAGCGTGAAATATCGTTAACTTTATTAAACTTTTTAAATCAGGTTGCTAAAGTCTACTTTAAATTAACATGAAATTAATACTAATTTTGTCTATACTCGTAATTGCCTTGGTATCTTGCACCTCGGCTTGTCGTGGCAGTCCACGTAAGTCTGTCTATCTTGTTAATTTTTTTGGAATAAATAAATAAATGTTTATTTGTTCTTTAGGTAATCCTTCTTGTATAGGTGAACGTAATAATGGTCGTAGTTGTCGCGGCTGTAGAAGAAGTATGATGTGGTGGTATGACCCGCGTACTAACCAATGTCGAGGTCTGCCCTATTTGGGTTCAGGTGGTAATAACAATCGATGGTGTTCCCGGCTAATTTGTGAACAGAGGTGTCGCCGTTAAATATACGAAATGCCCTCAACATAAAAATGATTTCCAAATAAAAAGCTTTCCTAATAATACCTAAAATTTGTGTATTTTACTTTAAACTAATGCAATTCTGATATCATTTAATACTGGTTACAATGGTCGAGACTATAAAACGGGTGAGCCTATGGAACTATACACAGTCTATAGTAGAGACTATTGAACTTTCTAACGTCGAGACTATAGAAAAGTCTATAGTCGAGACTATAAAACAGTCCATAGTCGAGATTATAGAACAGTCTATAGTACAGAATATATATATATAGGTGAAACTATAGAACAATCTATATTCGAGATAATAGAACAGTCTATAGTCGAGGATATAGAACAGTCTATAGTCGAGAATATAGAACAGTCAAAAGTCGAGACTATAGAACAGTTTATAGTCGAGACTATAGAACAGACTATAGTCTCGACTATAGAATAGTCTATAGTCGAGACTATAAAACAATGTAAAGACGTGACAATTGAAAAGTCTATAGTCGAGACTGTAGAACAGCCTATAGTCAAGACTATAGAACAGTCTATAGTCGAGACTATAGAATAGTCTATAGTCGTGACTATAGAATAGTCAATAATCGAGACTATAGAATAGTCTATAGTCGAGACTATAGAATAGTCTGCAGTCGAGACTATAGATCAGTCTATAGTCGAGACTATAGAACAGTCTATAGTCGAGACTATAGAACAGTCTATAGTCGAGACTATAGAACAGTCTATAGTCAAGACTATAGAACAGTCTATAGTCGAGACTATAGAACAGTCTATAGTCAAGACTATAGATCAGTCTATAGTCGAGACTATAGAACAGTCTATAATCGAGACTATAGAATAGTCTATAGTCGAGACTATAGAATAGTCTATAGTCGAGACTATAGAATAGTCTATAGTCGAGACTATAGAATAGTCTATAGTCGAGAATATAGAATAGTCTATAGTCGAGACTATAGAATAGTCTATAGTCGAGACTATAGAACAGTCTATAATCGAGACCATTGAATAGTCTATAGTCGAGACTATAGAATAGTCTATAGTCGACACTATAGAATAGTCTATAGTCGAGACTATAGAATAGTCTGTAGTCGAGACTATAGTCTGTAGTCGAGACTATAGAATAGTCTGTAGTCGAGACTATAGATCAGTCTATAGTCGAGACTATAGAACAGTCTATAGTCGAGACTATAGAACAGTCTAAAGTCGAGACTATAGAACAGTCTATATTCAAGACTATAGAACTGTCTACAATGGAGCCTATAGAAGAATCTATAGTTGAGACTATAGAACAGTCTATAGTCGAGACTACAGAACAGTCTATAGTCGAGACTATAGAATAGTATATAGTCGAGACTATAGAATAGTCTATAGTCGATACTATAGAATAATCTGTAGTTGAAACTATAGATCAGTCTATAGTCGAAACTATAGAACAGTCTATAGTCAAGACTATAGAAGAATCTATAGTCGAGACTATAGCACAGGCTATAGTCGAGACTGTAGAACAGTCTACAGTCGACTCTATTAAATCGAACAGTCTATTGTCCACACTATAGAACAGTCTATAGTCCAGACTATAGAACAGTCTATAGTCCAGACTATAGAACAGTCTATAGTCCAGACTGTAGAATTTTCTGTTGTCGGGAATGTGGAGTAATCTATAGTCGATTCTTTAAAATAGTCTGTGGTCGAGCCTATAGAAGATAGTCAAGCCTATAAATCAGTCTATAGTCGAGATTATAGATCAAGCTATAGGCGAACCACAGAACAGTCTAAAGTCGATACAATAGAAAAGTCTCTACTCGAGACTACAGAACAATTCATAGTTCAGAATATAGTATACTCTATAGTCGATACTATAGAACACTCTATAGAACAATTCTTGTGTTGTTGCAGATCTTTTAATTTTCATTGCAATATGAAAATATGGTTTCATTATATTTATAATTCTTTTATAAGGAATTTTATTGTTTTATTGTAAAAGCATTTAAACAATTGCATTAAAAACTTATTAAAATAGTACAAGGCTGCATTTTTTTGTATATAAATAAGGTTATTAAACAAAAAACCTGTTGTTACAGTTTAATTTTCTCTACAAAATGAAATTGTTATATATTTTGTCTTTTTTACTAGTCGCTTTGGTGACTTGTTGCTCGGCTCAAAATTGTAGGGGCACTCCTGGTAAGTCTGTTTTATAACATCCTACTTAGTTAATATATAATTAAATTTTAATTTAAAATTTTCAGCTAATCCTTCATGTGTTGGAGGTCGAAATGTAGGTCGTGGCCGTGGTCGCCGCTGTAGACCCCAAAACGTTTGGTATTACGATGCTCGCACTAGACGTTGTCAACGCATGCGCTATTTGGGCTGTCGTGGTAATAATAATCGTTGGTGCAACCAAGCTATTTGTGAACAGAGATGTCGTCGCCCTTAAATAATAACTCTGGACTTTCAAAAGTTTCTGTATAGTTTTCTTGTAAAATTGTATTAAGTTTAATAAAATCTTGAAGTGACTCAGAATAGAGCAATGTACTTATAGGCCTTTTGTTGGATATTATATATTATAGACAGGACTATGGCTAAGACTATAGACTAGACTATAGACTAGACTATAGACTAGACTATAGACTAGACTATAGACTAGACTATAGACTAGACTATAGACTAGACTATAGACTAGACTATAGACTAGACTATAGACTAGACTATAGACTAGACAATAGACTAGACTATAGACTAGACTATAGACTAGACTATAGACTAGACTATAGACAAGACTATAGACTAGACTATAGACTAGACTATAGACTAGACTATAGACTAGACTATAGACTAGACTATAGACTAGACTATAGACTAGACTATAGACTAGACTATAGACTAGACTATAGACTAGACAATAGACTAGACTATAGACTAGACTATAGACTAGACTATAGACTAGACTATAGACAAGACTATAGACTAGACTATAGACTAGACCAGCGGTTCCCACCGATTTTTACTTCGCGGACCCCTTGAAGAACTTATTTAATTTCGCGGACCCCCATACATATTTTTATATCTTATTGTTCTAAATAATTGTCCATCCGAAAATTGACCTAGTTCATTAATTCCTAGGTCTAATAAATGTAGAGATGTCATATCTATAAAATATTCCCGTACTTTGAGAATATATAATATTTCAGATAGGTTTTCAATTGCATGTTTTGAAGATAGAATGACTTCTTTGTTGATATGTTAACATGATGTATAATTTTATGATCGTGAGATCTTTCATGTTCATTTTTCTTCAAGGTAGCGAAAAGGTTTCTTTATCAAATATTGTCACATGTGCTTAAGGAGTCACGTTTCAAAAATTTGTTGCGATTGCAAAGGGTGAACTGAGTAAGTGAGCTAAGTTTTCGGGAAAATAATATAAGAAAGTTGGACTTCTTCTATGTTGTTGCGGAATGCGTTATCCGCATAATATATGATTTGAACTCTTTGTTAAAGTACTGTGAATTTGGAACTTAAATTTGAATTTTAAAATACCAACGAATTATTTTACTTCATGGTTTTTGGCTACATATTTACGCGAAACGCTATGGATTTTCTGATGTTAATTTAATAATATGTATTGGTCAACAAATCAAGTTAAAATCTGTGTATCACGTCGGATTGGAATATTTATAAAGAGATACATAAAGAGTCACCTCTGTTTTGGAAATATATAATTTTAGTCCTTTCAAACAAGAACACTTTTGCTTACAATTTGATAAACTTAAATCTGTAATAAGCTTGTCTTTGAATTGAACTTCATACTCCGGTACCAGTATCCCTAATTTAATTGTAAGGCAGAGTATTATTTGTCTGAAATAAAAACCATTATTTCAGTACATATACAGGAAATAAAAATTACAAATCACGCAATACTTTCTTTTATAAAAGTTATACAATAAATTTGTAGGGCCTAGCTTCTTCCTGATAAACAACCGAAAAAATTAAATTCAAAAAGTCACCAAAAAATTTGGGATTATTGCACAAAAATTGGAGATATTTGTACATACATATAAAGCAGAATATATTTTATTGGTGTTTTTTTTCGTTCGTCTTCGCGGACCCCCTAGGATTTTACTACGGACCACTAGGGGTCCGCGGACCCCCATTTGGGAACCGTTGGACTAGACTATAGACTAGACTATAGACTAGACTATAGACTAGACTATAGACTAGACTATAGACTAGACTATAGACTAGACTATAGACTAGACTATAGACTAGACTATAGACTAGACTATAGACTAGACTATAGACTAGACTATAGACTAGACTATAGACTAGACTATAGACTAGACTATAGACTAGACTATAGACTAGACTATAGACTAGACTAGACAGACTATAGACTAGACTATAGACTAGACTATAGACTAGACTATAGACTAGACTATAGACTAGACTATAGACTAGACTATAGACTAGACTATAGACTAGACTATAGACTAGACTATAGACTAGACTATAGACTAGACTATAGACTAGACTATAGACTAGACTATAGACTAGACTATAGACTAGACTCTAGACTAGACTATAGACTAGACAATAGACTAGACTATAGACTAGACTATAGACTAGACTATAGACTAGACTATAGACTAGACTATAGACTAGACTATAGACTAGACTATAGACTAGACTATAGACTAGACTATAGACTAGACTATAGACAAGACTATAGACTAGACTATAGACTAGACTATAGACTAGACTATAGACAGACTATAGACTAGACTATAGACTAGATATAGACTAGACAATAGACTAGACTATAGACTAGACTATAGATAGACTATAGACTAGACTATAGACAAGACTATAGACTAGACTATAGACTAGACTATAGATAGACTATAGACTAGACTATAGACTAGACTATAGAATAGACTATAGACTAGACTAAGATAGACTATAGACTAGACTATAGACTAGACTATAGACAAGACTATAGACTAGACTATAGACTAGACTATAGACTAGACTATAGACTAGACTATAGACTAGACTATAGACTAGACTATAGACTAGACTATAGACTAGACTATAGACTAGACTATAGACTAGACTATAGACTAGACTATAGACTAGACTATAGACTAGACTATAGACTAGACTATAGACTAGACTATAGACTAGACTATAGACTAGACTATAGACTAGACTATAGACTAGACTATAGACTAGACTAGACTAGACTATAGACTAGACTATAGACTAGACTATAGACTAGACTATAGACTAGACTATAGACTAGACATAGACTAGACTATAGACTAGACTATAGACTAGACTATAGACTAGACTATAGACTAGACTATAGACTAGACTAAAGACTAGACTATAGACTAGACTATAGACTAGACTATAGACTAGACTATAGACTAGACTATAGACTAGACTATAGACTAGACTAGACTATAGACTAGACTATAGACTAGACTATAGACTAGACTATAGACTAGACTATAGACTAGACTATAGACTAGACTATAGACTAGACTATAGACTAGACTATAGACTAGACTATAGACTAGACTATAGACTAGACTATAGACTAGACTATAGACTAGACTATAGACTAGACTATAGACTAGACTATAGACTAGACTATAGACTAGACTATAGACTAGACTATAGACTAGACATAGACTAGACTATAGACTAGACTATAGACTAGACTATAGACTAGACTATAGACTAGACTAGACTAGACTATAGACTAGACTATAGACTAGACTATAGACTAGACTATAGACTAGACTATAGACTAGACTATAGACTAGACTATAAACTAGACTATAGACTAGACTATAGACTAGACTATAGACTAGACTATAGACTAGACTATAGACTAGCCTATAGAATAGACTATAGACTAGACTATAGACTAGACTATAGACTAGCCTATAGAATAGACTATAGACTAGACTATAGACTAGAATATAGACTAGACTATAGATTAGACTATAGACTAGACTATAGACTAGACTATAGAATAGACTATAGACTAGACTATATACTAGACTATAGACTAGACTATATACCTAGACTATAGACTAGACGATAGACTAGACTAAGACTAGACTATAGACTAGACTATAGACCAGACTAATAGACTAGACGATAGACTAGACTATAGATTAGACTATAGATAGACTACTAGACTATAGACTAGACTATAGACAGACTATAGACTAGACTATAGACTAGACTATAGACTAGACTATAGACTAGACTATAGACTAGACTATAGACTAGACTATAGACTAGACTATAGACGACTATAGACTAGACTATAGACTAGACTATAGATAGACTATAGACTAGACTATAGACAGACTATAGACTAGACTATAGAATAGACTTAGACTAGAGTATAGACTAGACTATAGACTAGACTATAGACTAGACTATAGACTAGACTATAGACTAAGTTATAGACTAGACATATACTATACTATGAACTAGATTTCACAGGTAGATTTAACTAACAAATTCAAATTTTTTTACAGGTATAAAAAATACTTTGTTTTAATTTATAAACTTTTATATATATTCTACATTTAATTTAGCAAACAATATAAAATAATAAACATTAGTAACATCAGTTGTTTTTATCAATTAAACAATCCATTAACAAAAGTATAATAAAATTCTTCTAAAAATTTGATGTTATTTCTGAACAAAAAGTAAATTTATTTTAACTTAAAAAAAAGAAACATTAGCAACTGACAACAAATAAAAAGCAGCTTAAAATGCAGATTAAGACAGAGAATATTTTTTATTGCACACATAAGAGGAGTTGTTATCGTAAAAGACAAAATAATAATAAAAAAAAAAACTGGCATACATTTTACCATTTCCAGTGGCAAATGCCACTGACACCACCACTGCAGGCACATCAACAAAGCTGGTGATCATAAAAACCAAGAAAAAGTGGAAAAACATTTGTTCAATTCACAATCAAGTTGTATATTGTACCTACTAAAGTGTAGTAACAGTGATTGTGAACAAATCTTTGCAGCAAGTCATAAGTTTATGTTCTCAATGAAAAAAAAAAACAATCAAAACAAATATACATAAAGAATGTCAGAAGATAAAAAAATCAAAAATATTAAATTAATTAAAACATGCGAAATAAACAAAATTAATTTCTTTGAATTTTCATTTCTTTTATTTTCTTTATTCCACATTTTAAACTAATAAATAAACTGTTTTTAATAAATTTTAGTTTTTTTGTTTTGGTAAACAGCTGTTTGTTTTTGATTTCAGTGTTACCACTTTATCGTTTTTTTATGCTAAAATCGTTTGAATTTTTTATTATATGTTGAAATAAACAATTGGCAACACTAAACTTTCTTACAACATTCGAAAAACATATGAAAAATTGTCGTAGGAGTTATATAGAGCTTTTGCATAGAAAATACCAACAACATTGTTATGACTATTGTAGCAGCTGCTGACATACAACGCATACAACGC